GAAAAAACACACACACCCCCCCCGAGCGCAGTGAGTGCAGCACTGTAAAGCGCCAGTGTAATCAGCGCACGCAGCGCTGCACGCTATTCCCCTCGCAGCGCTGCACGCTATTCCCCTCGCAGCGCTGCACGCTATTCCCCTCGCAGCGCTGCACGCTATTCCCCTCGCAGCGCTGCACGCTATTCCCCTTGGAGAGGTGGAGTACTTGCAGCGCTGCGAGAGAGCTCTCGCAGCGCTGGCGGCGCAACTACACTCGCGCTTCACAGTGCTGCCGTGGCCAAGGCCTAAGTAGCAAAGGCCTACGTAATTTGGAGTGACTTTCAATTGGATTGAGGCCCCCAAGTGTATGTCTACACTGCAATTAGACACCCGTGGCTGGCCCAGGCTGTGGGATTGTTTAATTGTGGTGTCGAAGTTCCGGTTCTGGTTGCAGCTGAGCTCTGGGACTCTCCCACCTGACAGGGTACTACAGCCCAAGCTCTGCCCTGAGCCCGAATGTCTTCACTGCAATTAAACAGCCCCTTAGCCGGAGTTCCACAAGAGATTTAAAGACAATTCACATTTTCTCACTCATATTCCCATTCTTTGATTGCCAAATTCTTTAGTTTGCATTATACCTATTAGGTTAAGCTTTAGTGTTGTATTTAAAAATGCCCTTGTTACTTAACATAACATCACATCTGTTTTAAAAAGATTTATTCAAGGATTTTTAAACTTACATCTATTCATCAGGAAAGCTGTTTATTTTTACCAGAGTAGCCACTAGACAGCACTGCTATGTAAAGCAAGCAATACTTACCATGAGCAGCCCTTTGTAGGCATAGACAATGCCAAGCCAAATGGTCATGTGAGTGTTTTCACAGTGCTCTAAAATCGGACGAATGGAAATATCTCTGCCGGCAGGGTCCGGCTAAAAGGGAAGAAAAAGTAAAGAGTAAAATATTTGAATTAATTTGGCATGTATTTATGCCTCAGAAGCCATTTCATTCTGTTCCCAGTAGGTTGGGAACACACGTATTTGTGTGTAAAAGAAAAGCCAACTTTAGTAAGACTTTTGATGGTGTGGTTCCATAAGGCTGCAAAGAAGCTTTGTAAAGATTAGTAATTAGGGAATGGAACGTGATAGGTGGATTCATGCTTACCCTGCTACAGCAAAATAGAAGGCAGAAGGACTGTTCATCATATGTGCAATGACTCTTTAATACTGCCAATCACATTAATCTGTTATAGTTTAAACAAATACATAACTACCATGAAAAAAATATCCAGGAAGGCATTCTGTGTAACTGAAGGGAAAGAAGACAACTCAGTCTTTTTGATTTGGACAGCTAATTTGGTAAAAATAATAAAAAAGCTAATGGTATAGCTCAAACATGCAGCCATGAAAATATATATAGTTAAAAAAAAATCACTCTTCACGTTTTGTGTCATTGATCAATGGCTGAGTATGCAATGAGACACATTGTGGTATGTTCCAGACTATTTTTTGTTTTGTTTTATTGCCCTGAGACAAACCAAGTGCTTGGATTATGCTATTGCCATTGTACTATAGAAACTGCAGCAAAAGCTCAGTTTAGAATATAACCCATCCCCAAATACCCTTGAGACCAAGTGAAACTCTGTACAAATTAATGCTGCTAGAAACCCTCATAGCTTTCACTCACCCTCAGAAAAGAGGATAGTGCAGCAATGCATGCCTTTTGTACCTGGTGTGACAAAATTCAATGGGCCCCAACTCCCAGGGCCCTGTGGACTGCAGCTGTCTATAGTACTTCCTGTAACAGCTGCATGACAGCTACAACTCCCTGGGCTACTTCCCCATGGCCTCCTCCAAACACCTTCCTTAGTCTCACCACAGGACCTTCCACCTGGTATCTGATAACACTTGTACTCCTCAGTTCTCCAGCAGCACACCCTCTCAGCTCCTTGCACCTCTTACTCCCAGCTCCCCACACTCACACAACAAACTGAAGTGAGCTCCTTTTTAAAACCCAGGTGCCCTGATTAGCCTGCCTTAATTGATTCTAGCAGCTTCTTCTTAATTGGCTCCAGGTGTCCTAATTAGCCTGCCTGCCTTAACTGGTTCTAGCAGGTTCCTCATTACTCTAGTGCAGCCCCTTCTCTGGTCACCCAGGGAACAGAAAACTACTCATCCAGTAACCAGTATATTTGCCCTCTGCCAGACTCCTGTACCCCAGTCGTCTGAGTCTGTCACACTGGACATAATTTGCAAATTAGATTAGTGATTCTAACCGACTTGCTGTGTTACTTTGACAGGAATATTCTGTTGTACCAATCTATCCAAAGCGGTTGTGAACTCTTATCTTGTTTTCTTTTTGAGAAGAACCTGAAATATGGGCACAAATGTTCAAAGCAACTCACTATTTCCAATTTAAAATGATGGTCCAGATCTTCAGCTGATGTAAATCACCATGTGCTTCACTTTATGTACATGTGCAGTACCAGTGGAAGTCACTACAGCCAGTTCCTTTTTCAGCTGGCTACATGTATAAAATCTATGAGGCAGAAGAATATTGATTTATCCGAGCTACGGAAAAATCAGTTTTTCTTTGACTCAAATATAGAAGTGATTTTTTCATAGAAGGATTTCAGAGAAAAACTGATCATTATTCTATGGGTCAGTCTTGCTCCCATTAGTGTCAGTAGGAATTTTCCCAGAGATTTCAATGAGTGCAGAATCAAGCCCCTACTCCATTTCCCTCATCAGCCCTTCCATATGTAAAGCATGATTGCCTGGCTACTGCTGACCTCAGATAGCAACAAAGAATAAAAAAGACAGAAAACAAAAAACAAAACAAAACAAAAAAGAAAGAAAAGGAAAGAGGATTGTGGGGCATGTTTCTCACAATCCATAGTTATTTCCTTGCACCCTTGGCACAGAATGACAGTTACGTTCACCCCTTCCCAGTAGTAACCCTGAATAGGATAATCTAAATCCTAAAAATCTCTCAAATAAAAGAGGTCCCAGAGGAGGATTCTACCTTTTCATAAGTAGTGTATGGCCCCACGCTGACAGCCACCGATCACCTGCAACTCCCATTACCATCAACATGAGCTACAGGTGCTCATCACCTCTCAGGGTAAGGCTGCCAGGTAGCAGAAAAATATATTACAATGCTACTAATGTGTGTTTGGGATCATTAAAAATGTCTCCTTCTCCCTGATCAGGGACAAGATGTTTCATAATGCCAAAGTCTTTATGTACTGAATGTAATTTGACATTCCAAACTGAAGATAAAGCATTTCTGGATTTTCCATCATTTATGATTGACATGGAGAAAAGTTCAGGTGAGAGTTGCTATCTTAAAAATTCAGTAGTGTCAACATTTTCATATGAACAGGACTGTCCTGAAGATACATTTTCTCTAAGTTTCTAAACCTTGTCTTAGCTCATTACAAGGCCAAAGAGTTTTTTTTAAATACAGGACTGATCTCCCATACATCTTTGAGTTCTGGCGTGCCACTACTTGCATCCTTTTCTGAGTTGTGAGATAATTATTTCAGTTCCATTCTTTTCAGATCTACAGTATTCCAAAAAATGTTTAATTTTTAGCAGTGGGGAGCTACACTAGTTCACACCCACTCAGGATCTGGGCTCATGTCTTTTCAGCTACGTCCATCCTCTGCCCACACCCCTTCTCCTTTTTACCTCACATTAGTGGAGTGGGGTTTGAGACCTGCACTCAATGAACACCTGATGCTTCACCATATTTGTGCCTGCGTGGAAGCCTGGATTCATGCTTGCACTGAAACTCAACAGCCTTGTGCTGTTTGCTGAGTATATAATGATTTACAGGGTCAAGGTGCTGTCCAATATTTTGACGTGTATGCACAAAACGTCACTGAATGGCTGCCGTACTACTCAGCCATAGGCAGTGAAATGCTTACTCTTCTGTTTTTCACTACGGTATTTCTTTCCTAAAACAATGTAGTTATGTTCAAATTAGGGCTGTCAATTAACTGCAGTTAACGCACATGATTAACAAAAAAAAGTAATCGTGATTAAAAAAATTAATCACGATTAATCACAGTTTTAATTATGATTTAATTTTAATTTTATATTTATATGAATTTATATATAAACTATATTTTAATTATAATTTTGCATTGAATTAATCGCACAGTTAAAGAATAGAATACCAATTGAAATGTATTAAATATTTTGGACTTTTTTCTAAATTTTCATTTATATTATATTCTGTGTTGTGATTGAAATCAAAGTGTATATTATTTTTGATTACAAATATTTGCACTGTAAAAATGATGAACAAAAGAAACAGTATTTTTCAATTCACCTCATACAAGTACTGTAGTGCAATCTCTTTGTCGTGAAAGTACAATTTACAAATGTAGATTTTGTTGTTGTTGCATAACTGCACTCAAAAACAAAACTTCAGAGCCCACAAGTCCACTCAGTCCTACTTCTTGTTCAGCCAATCGCTAAGACAAACAAGTTTGTTTACATTTACAGGAGATAATGCGGCCCTCTTCTTTTTTACAAAGTCACCAGAAAGTGAGAACAGGCATTCACATGGCACTTTTATAGCCAGCATTGCAAGGTATTTACATGTCAGATATGCTAAACAATCATATGGCCCTTCATACTTTGGACATCATTCCAGAGCACATGTTTCCATGCTGATGACGCTTGTTAAAAAAATAATGCGTTAATTAAATTTGTGACTGAACTCCTTGGGGGAGAATTGTATGTCCCCTGCTCTGTTTTACCCATATTATTCCATATATTTCATGTTATAGCAGTCTCAGATGATGACCCAGCACATGTTGTTCATTTTAAGAACACTTTCGCTGTAGATTTCACAAAACGTAAAGAAGGAATCAATGTGAGATTTCTAACCGACCCAAGGTTTAAGAATCTGAAGTGCCTTCCAAAATCTGAGCGGGATGAGGTGTGGAGCATGCTTTCAGAAGTCTTAAAAGAGCAACACTTCAATTCAGAAACTACAGAACCCGAACCACCAAAAGAGAAAATCAACCGTCTGCTGGTGGCATCTGACTCAGATGATGAAAATGAACATGCGTCCGTCTGCACTGCTTTGGATTGTTATTGAGCAGAACCTGTCATCAGCCCGATTCGACAGGGCCCCGGCAGGGATGACTCACCCGGCGGTGCTCCAGGTCTTCACCCCAGGTCTTCAGTGGCACTGAAGGACCCGCCGCCAAAGACCCAGTAAATAACTGCCCGGTGAGTACATCCCTCCCGCTGCATCCGACCCCCACCCATGTCCTGTCCCCAACTGCCCCCCTCAGAAACCGCAACCCATCAACCCCCCCGCTCCTTGTCCTCTGACGACTCTTTCCCAAGACCCCCCACCCTAACTGCCCCCCAGGACCCCACCCCCTACCCAACTCACCCTGCTCCCTGTTCCCTGACTGCCTCGACCCCATCCACCACCAGCCCGACAGACCCCCGGAACTCCCACACCTACCCAACCCCCCCATCCCCTGACCGCCACCCCAGAACCTCTGCCTGATCCAACGCCCCCACCTGCTCCCTGTCCCCGGGACTCCCTGCCCCTGCCTTATCCAACCCCCCCCCCTGGTCCCGGTCTCTTACTATGCCGCTTACCCCCACTGAGGCCGGGCCCAGGGCCCAGGGCCCGGGCCAGGGCCGCACTGCCCGGCCGGGGCCAGGACTGCGCCGCCTGTCAGGGGTTGGGGCCGAAGGTGTGCCACCCGGAGTCAGAGCCACGCCACCCGGCCAGAGTCAAGGCCGGGGCCAGGCCGGAGCCACGCTGCGGGGCTGGAGGGAGCCGCTTGGCTGGGGCCAGATCGGAGTCGCCGGGCTGGGGCCAGACTGGGCCGCGCCACGCCTCCCTGGAGCCCTCCTCACTCCCCCCCACCCCAGCTTACCTTGCAAAGCTGCCG